GCGGCTAGATATAAATGTAGAACAGGAGGATTCAGAGTCGTCCTTTACACCCGACTGTGCAGATGAAGAAGACGAGGAAGGCCCAGCTTCTGATAGCCAGGGGTCTACCCGTTCTAGGTCTAGGCAAGGCACATTGACGCATAAGGAGGCCAGCTCCGACAGGTCCTTCCAGGGGTTTGAGGAACCGCAGGACCATAACCCCACACCTGGCGGTCGTGACGCTTGCACAGTTGTCGGCCTCAAGCCCGACCGTGTAGTTTGCGATGCTGTCCTTCCTGACCTGTCGACATATTGCCAGCTCCTTCCTCCTGCTGCCTGCACTGGTGCTGATACATGTAAGACAGCCGCCCCGTGGACGTGTCACGTCGCTGCCCTTTGACACCTGCTTCCCAAGTCACATACTGTTGCTGATGCCCTTCTCCATGCGGTCAGTGACACATTCCGTATGCCTCACGAACCTGCTCACTTTACGGTGCCCCACGCAACCGGTGATGTGACAGCAGCAGAACCTACTGGTTTCAATGGTGTTCTGGGAGATCGTCCCGAGCAACAGCGTCCGGACGGTTTGCCCGTCCCACAAGTGCTCCATCATCAAGCCATGCAACGGGCCCCGCCGATTGTGATTACTTTTGTTGTTCTCTGTGAAGGGTACCTGCCCGAATTCTTGCCAATTCCTATTCCAGAACCATCCGACATACCTGAGGTTCTGGGGCTTGTGCAGGCAGCCAGGACCCATGAGGACCAGCGTCACTTCCCGTGTTTGACGCTCGCTGCCCAGCAGCCTATACCCACAATGATTTTGCTTGTGGGCAGACCTGCATGGCCATGTCGCGAGACGACATTTATTTGTGAGTGCACATTCATGCGCGACACTGTCTATGCTTGCAGAGTAGGCCCCGACCCTACAAGAACAGGCATCCTCGCTGCCATAGGCATAGCTCAACATTTTGAGGTTGACGTATGGGGTCCTGACAGTCGTCGCCCCATCGCACATGACGAACTCGTCCAGCTGCAGCATGGTGACTTGATCACCGTTCTTCCGGCTGGTCGACCCCGCCCCTATCGGCAAGCTGTTGGCCCAATGCTACGACGTCGGGAGGGCTGGGCCTCTACACTTGGAGAGACACTAGGTGCCTGTCGTTCACTCTGGGTTGTAGTTGGTGCAGCATACCGCCGTTTTGCCATTGAACCAGACACGGTTCGAATCACGCGAACTGAGGTGGCGGAGGCGCTCGGTTACACTACCCCAAGTAGTGTACGCGTCCTTGTTCCACAGCCAGCCTTTCAGGACTTTTGCCATCGAGGACATGGTGCAAGGCTGGTTCTTATTGCTGTGCCGGCTCCGCCACCTCCTCCACCAGGGGCCTGCAGACGCATGATTCTTGTCTTTGATAAGCGGCCGCTTCTTGAGCCAGTCGTAGGCATTCCTATCGAGACATGCCAGGTACCACATGCGCAGCTCGAAGCAGCCGTTGGCCGTAGGTGCCCAGAGGGTTTTCGCCTGTGTATCACAGGTGCGCCACCAGAATCTCAACCAGGTGGTATTTTTTATACAGTTTCCGACCGGGCCTGCCTCACTGCATGGTATGCTGCCGTCGGCGATGTTGACGCGAGTTCCGACCAAACTCTGGGAACAGCTGGACAGGTAGGGCACAACGACCCCGATAGTGCTGACATCGATGGTGCTTCTTCAACGTCCAACTCTTCCCGCGGCAGAAGTCGGTCACCGCGTGGCCCTCCCCCGCCTTGTCCCACTGGTGGACAGCGAAGCGGACATGCTCCTCCGACCGGCCATGGCACATGTGCAGCCCTACTTGGTGTCAGTACCTTCTTTGGCTCCTGTGCGCAGCCGGTTCAGGCTCTGGCAAATATGCCCCATGCCAGTTTTGACTGTTTGCACACTGCTCTGCTTATTGCTGTTGTGCTCGGTCTTTTCAGTCTCCTCGTTGCTCTTTGTCAGAGGTACGCATGCCTGGACCAGGTCTTCTGTCGTGTTCCAAAGGCTGCTTCTCCTTCTGACCGACTCCTCTCTGAGCCGACCTGCAGCAACAGTCAGGCCCAAAGGCACTTGGGTCACCTTCGAGCGCTTGTCGGCCAGCTTGGTGGCCGATGGCTTCATGAGGAACGGACTGGCCTATACGCAGCATGGCCTCTAGGTACTGAAGTCGATACAGCCTCAGATACAGGCGAAGAAGCTGTTCTGGAGCTCCACTGTCTGATTTACAAAGTCGGATACACTCCGGAAGTGGTCACTGTTGCCCTTTGTCTTCCTGCAACTAGCGCGGAGTTGGAACAGGTGATTGAGGCTGCCAGGTGCCCACACATGCAGCGTTTACACCCGCTCCTTCTGCCAGTACTGCCCCAACCTTTTGAGGGGTTCGCGGCCTTTCTGGCTAGCCCTCAATGGGCCGCAGGTCTCCAAGGATGTTGCATCAACGCCACCGCTGTGGATGGCCGGATTTTTGCGCTTCATCTGCCTGATTATGTCATGAGGCACGACCTCATTGCAGCAGCCAATTTCACGGACTGGGCAACAACCGATCTAGAAGTGCGAGTTGGTACTGTCAATGATCCCATACCAGATGGCTATCCTGTCCATCTTTTCCCCGGAGCCCTGATCCGTTTCACGCCTAAAGATCAGTACGTTCCCGAGCCTCTCATTTTGTCACGGCAACTGTTGATGCCCAACGCGTGGGTGCTGCTGCATCCTGTTCCCGCCAACCCAGCTTTCGACACCTGTTGTGTCGTCACAGGCGGCATGGCACGCCTACATTTTGTCACCAATGAACATCCATTGTGGTATCGCCAGGATCTTGCCCTGACAGCGCGTGTAGAAGTCGAATACATGCGTATACAGGCTGCCAGACCACATCTCACCGATGTTGTTCATGAAGGATACCCATGTAGGACCGTGCTTGCAGTTGAGGGAGATGTTTCTGATGTCGGGCTGGTTTGGCATAGCTGTTTTCTTGACTGCCGGCCCATACAACAGGGATGGAAATCTGTCAAAGCACGAGATGGAATACTTCCTTTTGAGCACCTTCGTGACATCTTCGAAGCACCCTTGGGTTGGCAGGTTTGCCTGGACGGACAGGCTTTAGGCAATGATCAGATTCACGTTGCTCCCGGACAAATTCTAGTGGTTACGTTTGCCCTAGCTAGTGGGTCCTCAGCCCCCCACGACGACTTGACTGCAGATCAGACCGTGGCTGCCGCAGGAGATGTTTCGGCCAATGCACATGGCCTTTCTTCGCCGGAGCCCCGCGCAGAACGGCCGAGGGCGACGCCTCTTGAGGACGTTTCCAGACAGTCCCGCCCAAGTCAGCCAGCGCTTGTCCCATTTATCCTCTTCTCTGAAGAGTACTGGCCAGAACTTGTCATACCCACACTGCGGCTTCCCACCAGGATCGGGGAAGCCTTTGCTTCTGTTGCGCAGCTCCGACAGGGGGATGCGCACCGGAGGCGTCCCCGTTTGGTCGCGGTCTTTCCACAACCACGTGCCCGCCAGATTTCTGCTCTTGCCCTTCCACATTGGCCTTATACAGGTGTTGCGGTTCTAATTGATAAGCGAATTGCGCCCATCAGCACTTTCGCGATTGTTCTCCCGCACCGTCTTACACGGGATGCTATCCTTGTTGCTGCAGGTGTCGCGGAGGGTACGGAGTGCTGTGTGTACCTCAAGGACGTCCCTTGGCCTATCACGGACGATGTGCAGGTCTTTCCCGACGAAGGGGATCTGATTCTTGTTTGCGATGATATCGACCGAGGAGATAGGATGCCAGAGGCTGATGAGATGCTTGGTGATGGGCGCGAATGGGATGTGACACCTCATCTTCCAGGGGACGATAATCGTCGCGTTTGGACACTCTCAGACGGCACTCATGCAGCTGTTCCGCTGGACAGCGATGATTTTGCCACTGACAGCGCAACCACCGCTGGCGCTCTTGATCTTCCCCCTGGCCAATTTGTGCTGATTCAGATCACTCCCGAGATCTATGATCACGCTAGAAAAGGCATACGTACACATGGTGTCCTTATTGCCTGTATGTTGGCTGATTTCCCGCTCGAAGGACCACGACATAAAACTCCTTTTGTCTTGGACCTCCGACCGCTGCTATTGCCGATTTCGTGGTCATATGCAACAAATGGTCAGGTTGATGTGACAGACCTAGCCAACAGGCTCTGTAGCCGATGCCCTGCCGGATACCACCTCAGGCTCTATGGTGGACGAGCGGACAGTGACCGTGGAAACCACCTTCGTTCCCTTGATGCAGGGGAAGTTCTCACGGCAGAGTTCCATCCCAACTATATCCGTGATGTGGTGACCGAGCTCAATCCGGACACCTATATGCATCCTGCCCCACATTCCACAGGGGGGTATCACACTGGCCTTCCCAGAAGTGGTGCTGATACATCTTCAGCTTCCTCTTCGGGCGATGCTGGAACTGGCGGCACCCGCCGCGGGCCTGCCGAGCCTTCAGCCCGCCATACCACAAATAGCACATACGCCCAGTCATGCGCTTTCCTTACCCCACATGCCGTGACTGCTTTGTTGCATACCAGACACGATGGGAGTCGAGTAGTCATGTGGCCTTCCGTTTCTGATCGCGACGCCTTAGCTGAAGGTACGCGGAAGGCAACCCCTGTCCTCCTCCCACAAGCTTGCCTATGCACACGAACGGGCACCAAGGCGTGTTGCCGACCCAACGCACATTTGGCGTGCGCTGCTCCCGCCTCTGGGCGTTTACATTCCAATGCCCATGCCCGCTCGGTTGGAGGCCCGGCCCTCTTTGCCTTTGTGGTTTCTGCACTCTTTCCATTTTGCTTGGCCGGTATGGCTTGGGCCCTTCATCAATGGCCCATCATTGGCCTGGTATTCCTTTGTGTCAGGGTCACCGGGCAACAGCGCCCTCCTTTCCCATGGATACTGCTCGGATTGATTGTAGCCAGTTGGTGCGTTCTCCCCGTGCACGCGGGCTACGATGCGTCATCCCTTCAGAAGGCAGGTATCAAGGTGTGTGCCACTGACATAAGCAGGCTCCTTCCTACCCCTTGCCGGAGTGATAAGCACCGTGATGCCCCTCTCCTGCCGAGCAGTGTCTTCTATCTGAACTGGGCCATAGATCCTGATTCAGACTCTGACGATGAAGATGCCGTTGAAGCTGGGCCCACGTTGCTTGAGCAGAGCATCCAACACCCGGGCAGTATGGCACTTTATGAGGCCGCCATTCTTCTCGATGTCCTCGTTGAGCACTTTGCTACCTGTGGCCCCCCGCGAGCTGGTGCCACTGTACAATTTCGGATCCAACTAAGTCTCACTGACACCGTTCCCCAAACTCCCTATCAGCTTCTGTGTCAGAGGCTCGCCAGCCTAATCCCGGCAGCAGTTCCTGATTTTTGAATCAGGCAGCCGAGCAAGACTGGCTTGACAATGACTTGACCAGCATTGCATCTTTTCCCGAGGCCGCGCTTAGTTTGCGCAGTGTGCTCCCAGACATTGTATATTGGCATAGCATTTGCCGCCCGGGTCAGCCCATATGGGTTGACATCTACACAGACGGGTCCGCCAGTGGCTGTGCCGAACCCCTGGCTTCGGCACCATGCGGATGGGCTTTCAATGTTTGGATCACCACTGCCGAGGGGTGCTTCTACTACGGTCATGCCGCATCCACAGCGGTCGCTCCACATACGCCCTTCTGTCTCGGTGAACCTTGCGACTCCCCGTTAGTCAGTGAGGTTCTGGCCATCTGTTGGGCATTGTGTTGGGTTGATAGAGTACGGTCCGGCCTTTCATTGCCCCATCTGTCTGCAATATGATTGCCTCGCCGCCGGCGATGGCACCTTTGCACAGTCTGCCCCGGCCCACTTGTCGTCATTGTCAGATTATCCTGTCCTCAGCCACACTGCTGTAGCCTTGCGTCAGGTGGCCGCGCGGCGCGTTGATCTGCGCCACACTCATGTGCCCGGACATAATGGTGATCTTGGCAATGAGCTGAGTGACGCCCTCGCAAAGCGGGCTAGACTTTCGATCCAGAGCTATGAGGAGAGGGCACTTCCTCACTGGCCCGCCTGCCTTGTCCTACATCCTTTGCTCCAATGGGCGTGGCTTGCTGCAGACCATGCCGGAGATTTGCCTGCCCTATACGCTTTGGAAGGCGAGGCCAAGCGTTTGCAGCGTTTACCACAACCTTCCCGAACGGCCCCTTGTATGGGTCAGCAGGCCGGCGGCGGCACCTCGTCTTCCCTCTTGCACTACCACCTCTGCGCGGCTACCTACAATGTCCTGACACTACTGGACAAACCTGTAGGCGCGAAAACATCTGCTCAGGTAGGTGTAAAGATGCATGGCCGACGCCACCTTCTGGTGAGGCAGATCAAAGCGGCAGGCATCCTTTTCTTTGGACTACAGGAGACGCGCATCCAGGAAATGGCATCTTTGCCTGATCGGGAGTACTGGATGCTCCATGCCCCGGCCAGTCCGGCCGGACACTTTGGTTGCGCACTGTGGATCTGTCGCAACCTTCCTTATGCCACGTGTGGTAACCAGCGGTTCTACATCGAGCTGGCGCAGTGCACTGTCGCGGCGGTTTCACCTAGGCACCT